CTGCACTATTATCAAGAATGTGTGGAAATACTGCGTCGGGCTCAGAGTCGTGGTCCTCTTCGTTTTAAGGAGGCAGCGATCATCATCACATCTGACTACACGGCAGCTGTGGCCAAGGTTCGAGTGACGTTTACGGAGGTGAGGAGGCTCCTTCGCAATGATGTGATGTTCGTTACAGCTTGGTTTTTCCTGCACGGCTCCGCATCTCCCATGGGGAGGAAAACAAGGAATTCCTGGATGCCAATAAAGCAATGGACTACGTTAAAAAGAGGATCATCTCAGCGACGGACAACGAGGACCGGCGTTGACCGCAGGTCCAGCCCTCATCGATCCATTACGACTGTAAGGTTGTAATGAACCTTCCAACTTTATGTCCAGCGTTATATCTTGATTTAATTTTAGACATTATTCTCAGGGACAACATTCCTCTTTTTGTTCTATGTACGAGAGTTTCACAGGGGGTCTGTCCGGATCTTGGTTAGTGATTTATTTATCAGTGCTGCAAGGAGCATAAACAGTAATAATACTTTAAAGTAAGGGAACCCCTTCTTTTATTTATTTTTGGTTATTGTTATTTAGTTATGGCGGGAGTCCAGGCAGGGAGTTAAGTCCCCCAGTATAAGCACAAATGTGTGGATTTTTTGTTTGTTGGGTTCTCCGTTTTTTTAGGAGAAAGGGGTGGGACTATACCGGATCCATTTGTTTTGAGAATGTCTTTTTCAGGTTTTTTTTGTGATGGTTTGTGTCTATTGTACTACAGTCCAATTGGCCATGCATGAGCAGTTCTAATATTACCAGGTTCATCAACAGTCACCCAGTTAACTGTGTGAGTTGGAATGTGAAATCCCTCAATGGTCGAGTGAAATTTAGGAAAGTTATGACACATTTAAGACAACTTGATGCTAATATTACTTTTTTGCAGGTGACCCATTTGCATAAGGCAGACAGTGCAAATCTAAGCAGGCGCTGGTYTGGTCAGGTGTTTCAGTCTAACTTCCTATCTAAATTGAGAGGGGTGGCCATCTTAGTTAGTAAACAAGTGCAATTTACAGCATCCAGTGTTAAAACGGATGCTGCTGGACGTTATGTAATTGTGGTGGGAAAACTATATGCACTTCCTGTCATTTTAGTTTCGGTATATGCTTCAAATTGGGATGATCAAACATTTTTAATACGCTCTTTTCACTTTTCAAATGTACCTAATATTTCAACACATAATCTCATAATTGGGGGAGATGTGAACTGTGAGCTATCATCCCTCGATCGTAGTACAGTGGGGAGGATCTCTCTTTCTAAATCGGCCCAGTCAATTAATTCATTTCTTAACACTTATGGAGTGGTTGACGTGTGACATTTTCGAAATCCGACACTGAGACGGTATTCGTTCTTTTCCCCTGTTCATAAGAGCTATTCAAGGATTGACT